TTGGCAGCCTTCCAGGCAGCACTGGTATGTGTTTAAAATACTTTCAAGGAACAATGCATGCTTTTGTAGTGTGCTGGGCCAAGTGGGGCTGTTTTTGTCTCTGATGGCCCCTGGGGGCCCTGGGGATGCCATCGGAAGCTGGTGACGTTTCTGAAAGAAGGTACACTCAACAACAAGCCTCCTGCTCCTCTTTACAACGCTGATGAAAGTGCATAAAGTGGTTTTAATTTCCACGTCGTGCGGCGATACATTTGCATGCCCGTTTGCGCTTAGAGCAAACTGAAACAGCAGAAGTGAACGCGTGCGCTGGTTTTCAACATGTAAAACGTGTGCGCACACGCTCTGACATAGACACGTTCACAGTGGTTATTAAGACGCAGCTGCTGTTGCGGAGCGTTCTTACTTCAGTATGTATTCATTAGCTGCCTGGTTCCACACTTAATGACAGGAAAGAGTCATGTTTGTACTGAATGCGCTAATTTGTCATTTGGTTTATGGAAGAAAATGCAACCCCACTGCCGCTTTAAACATATTTTTACGATACGAGTGAACAAATCACAAGCACCGGCAGAGACCAAAAAAAAACACACACAAAAAAAAAAAAAAAAACATTTGAAATTATAGGCTGACACAAAAATATACTTATGAGGTAAAATGAAGAGTTGGAATTACCAATGCGAATAAACCAAACACAAAAGATGGAGTGAAATTTTACTCACACACACAAACTCTCATGCGCACAGGGAGATAAAAGAAGTTGTGAAAAGATTTCTTTTGGCTCGGGTTATTAAGAATTCAGCTAATGAGGCAGCTTTGTCACCCCAGATAGAACAAATGAATTTGAGACGGCACTGCGGCAACTCTCCCCACAAACCCCGAGTGTGCGTGGAGGGGAGGTGTTTGCACGCCGTTTGTGTATATCTGTGCACGAAAGGTGTTTTGTAAACATCTCATTCTGCATAATGAATGCAGTCCTCTGTCATGCACACGCAAAACAGACACACGCAGCAGCATCCAACACAGGGGAGCTTCCTTTACCTGTCACACTGGCTCCCCTCCCCGATCCACATGCAAGTCCCAGAGTGTGCATGCATGTTTGTGCGTGTACTTCATTGAAGGCTGACATGTGCTTTTGATGTGTAAACAGGAAGTCATGAGAGTTGTAATTTGTATTTCATTCATACGGTGAAGTGCAGCCACCTCTTCCAACATCTCGAGCCATCTGCGCCATGTTTAGGTCCACCCAGGGAGGGCTGTTTAGCTGATCTTCATTGGCCCACAGGGAGTGTTCGCTTATTTGGTTGTTTGCCAGACACTAATCCCCAACAATTAACCACCAGGCAATCTGGAAAAGTGCCATATTGACAAGGACGGGCCTTTTTTTTTTTTTGCCACACGAGCACACAAAGACGCTCCGTATAGATGCACGTTTCCCAGACCGACAGTGTTGCCGTGGCATAAATTACACACACATATTGCGAGCAGACACACACAACAGCGCAAACCCAGGAGCAGGAACAGTATGTTTGTGTGTTTGAATATGCATTACACAGCCCACGCCTGGCATGAGTCAAAGTGCTCCTTTAAAAGTTCATAAATCATGGATGTTCTGGCTTGTGATCACCAGGCCACATGCGTTTCAGGCCCGCAGAGAAGCAGAGAGCGACACACAGCCTCTAGTTTTGGTCTTAAACAAACCCTCTGGAATGTGCTGATGGGGGGAGAATTAATATTAAGCCTAAACCTATCTGGCAGCCCAGTTCAACCCCAAAATATATCATTCAGCTGCTCCCAGCTGAAGCCCCATATCCTAAAAACATTAAGACATAAGCTGGGACGTTGAGGAATGTGTGGTATCGAGGCCACAACTGATTTATATAAAAATGATAATTTTAATGCAGAGCAAATCTTTTTTTACGGTAATGCTATAAAAAACAACTATGAACAATCGGTGGGTCTTGACTGTCATGGCAATATTCTGCTTCGATGATGAACAAGCTCTCATTCACAAAATTAACTTTTTTTTTCTTTGTCCTCCAATTAAATGGGCAGTTATTACTTTTACAAAGTGATCCTGAAGACTGTTGTTTGGAAACAAAATAAAAGAGCAGCTTTCCTTTTTATTCAGATTTGAAAATGTCTCACATTATGTTTGAATGATTGTAAAATAATATTATGGGGGAAGGCCCTGACAGATGCAAATTCTGAATGCGCAGAATGCAAGTTGCAGTCCCATTGTTGTTGCACCGTTTTATAGTGGATATCTGACACCACGGAGTCCACATTAGGTAACGCAACTCTGATCACCTGCGATTAGAAACATTTAAGATCTGATTAAAAAACAAAAACATTCCAACATTCTGGTTTCGGCAAGAGATAAATGCATGTTTGCTTCCGTAGCACACGTGTGTGGTTTCCACAGAAAAGACTCGGCAGTCTCGTTTTCCTGAGGGAGGGAGGGGACGGAAGAAAAGAAGCAAAGAAAGAGTGAAAGAGCAAGGGAGGCCTCCTTTCACAGAGAAACAAAGATAGCTGTAATTAATGGCCCTGAGCTCTGGACTAGGGGAGCTTTCTTCTGACAACTCCAACTTAATTAAAACTTAAGACATCTGAAAGGGCCTCTGACTGCGAGGGGACGTCCCACCGTCTCGTGAGAAAAAACTTTGCAAGATTTTCCTACAAAAGAAAGAAAGAAGGAAAGACACAGAGAAAAGATGTGTTAGCGGCTGTAGCTATGTTGCTAATCCCTGTTTGTCAAAGGAGGAAGAGGGAAGAGAGGGTTGGGGGGGGGGGGGGGGCTCACACACCTGCACTTCACTCCTCCCACCCCATGCACACATTTCCTGCACATACATTTTTTTTTTCCCCTGCTCTTTTCTTGCTCTCTATAAAATGATGCAAGAACAAGAAAATATTACCTGTCTAACTTTTAATTGCTTCATGAAAGAAATATCTTCCTATAGGAGTGTGTAAGAGACAGGCAGAGTCCCCCCCCCACCCACCCCCCACCCACACACACACAACAGTAAGGTATTAATTAATGCATAGACCTCTGCACCTGTTTCTCACAAAACAGTGTGAATAAATCTTAACAAAGCAGAAGCCAACCTTCATGATCCACCTCTGTGTATCTGTCTTCCTGCTTTGCTCTCCTCCTTTGTGTGACTCACCTCCCTCCACAGAGGATCAGATAATAAAAGCTTGGCCTGCTCTTTTGTTTTTGTGCATTGTTCATTAGCCCGGCAGCGACAACAGAAGCACACTTGATATGCTCGGCTTGACTGGGTGTATAGGAGCAGGGCAAGGTGGGATGGGGGCTGTGCGTGCATGTGGGTTTGTGCACCTACACATACGGAGGGCGGGACGAGAGGTAGGGGGTAGCTTTGCATGGCTGCAATGCCATTAAAGAGGCAACTGGAAATTAAGGGCTTGCAACTGGCAGAACACGTTGAATGAGAAACCTCCAGCAGCTGCCAACAATAAGGAGAGCCGGACAATGTGCGAGTTAGAGGCGAAACCTGAACTTTGCCTTTTGTTTGACTTTTTACAGGTTTTTAATCGTTGCATTCAGTTCATTCAAGATGGAAAACAAGACAGATACATTTGTTGCATATTGAAAATACCGCCATGTTTTTCTGGAATATGTATTTGCTCATCTACATCCGGCTGTGGCTGAGTGGTTAGAGCAGTCGTCCTCCAATGCGAGAGTTGGGGGTTCGAGTCCACCAGTAGTCACGTGCTGAAGTGTCCCTGGGCAAGACGCTGAACCCCTCATAGCCTCTGATGTGTGTCCCATCAGTGTATGAATGTGATGTAAAAAGCTCTGATTAGTCTCTTTAGAATGATTTGTTCAATAAGCTTTGTAGAGATCTAGTAGAGTCATGTATGAATGGGTAAATGAGGACACAGATTGTAGTGTAAAGCGTTTTGAGTATCTTGAAATAAGATAGAAAGGCGCTATATAAGTACAGTCCATGTATCTACATCCTTCTATAGTTTAGGTATTTTTGAAGTATGTCAATTTAGTTTCAAAGAACCTTTTCCTTCAACGTTCCTGAGGAAAAGTCCACAAAACTATTGTAGAACCCCAGTGGACTGGTTGGTCCACTGTAAGAGTCTACTGCTTAGTGGGGAAGAAAGTTTGTTTGGGACTTCTCAGACTGATGAAGCCCTTCGGATGGAGGGTGAAACCTCTCTCAGCAAAAAAAAAAAAAAAAAAGAAGAAACTGTCCAGATGAACTGATTGAACATTGTTGGATTTTTTTACCTGGATTATTGAGCATGAGCCTTAATGTACATTGTTTATCACGGGGGATCCGTACTCTGAAGACCCGCGATAAGTGAAAAACCGCAAAGTAGGAATATATATATATATATATATATATATATATAAAGGCGTTTTAAACCCTTCCCACACTCTTGCAATATTCTAAACAATGTTTCTAAACTTTAAATGCTCTAAAAGATCACAAAATGTCATGATTTCAGCTCCCTGCCTCCTCTGCTCTCAGCCACCTGCAAGCGCTCTTGGCCACGCCCACTTCTCCGCTCTGCACACTGATCAGCTGCAGCAGGAAGTTTATCCTGCAGTATGTGCATCAGGTGCTAAATAATTCAAAAATAATTTATTTTAAATAAAAATTCCATGCCGATTGTGCCGCTCGTCCATCAGTCAGACAATTCTGTGTCATGTCCACTCTTATTTTGAAAAACCACGATAGAGCGAGTCTGCGATAAACGAACTGCGAAGTAGCGAGGGACTACTGTATTGTAGAAAACAGTCTCAAAGAATGAAACTAGAAAAGTAGTGTTGCTGTTTTGTGATTCTGCTGAAAACAGACTAGAAGGAAAGTTTCCAGAGGTGCAATTTATTGTGACAATTTTAAAGAATAAAAAGATAATACTAAAGCAAACGTGGGAGACAACTGCTGCCATTTTAACATATAACCTGTAAATACAACTAATCCCAATGCTAATATATAATCTTCTTGGTTCCACAGTACTTGCAAAAGCTGGACAGCACCTACAGCCAAGAGTCATGCGTCTACCACTGCACTTTGTGTGACTACTCCACCAAAGCCCGCCTCAACCTGGTGCAGCATGCCCGTTCAGCCCGCCACCAGCAGAACGAGGGGCTGAGAAAACTACAAATGCACCAGCAAGGCCTGGGAGGGGATGACGATGGACTGAGCCTCCATGAGCTGTTTCATGTCAAGGAGTGTCCCAGCAGTTCAGGTATGGGCTTTTTCAACCTCCTTTGCAATGCTCTGCTTGTTTTTAATTAGAATTTGTTTGCTATTTTATGGTTTAAGGGCAAAATACACAGTGTATCAATATTTGTACCTTCATTATTTTTCTACTTTGACCCACATACTAGCAGCGACAGGCCACTGGTTGACATTTTATGTTGCTGCGCTTCTTATTGCAGTTTCATTTCAAACTTGCACTCGTGGATACTCATAGTTGCAATGCTGTTCCATATCGTTATCAGTAAAAAAGAAGAATGATGGCAATTTAACTGTATAGGTTGAAAAATACCTGAAGAAATGTGACACAAAATGGATATTCTGGTGAGAAAACAAGCTACATGTCGCGCTACAGCATGCCAGGTCTTTTATATTTTAAAGTTTGTAGTAGTTGGTGAATGACATTCACGGCGGAGTCTCCTGCAACTTTTGCAAGATTCACAACTTTCCCCTGTGAGTCCAAGAGGCATTCAGTCCTGTCGCTTGAGTTTTAAATATATATTTTTTTAAATTTTGTGTTTACCTTTTTCTTAAAGGTGTTAGGGGCGGCTGTGGCTGAGTGGTTAAGAGCAGTCGTCCTCCAATGAAAGAGATGAGGGTTTGAATTCACCAGCAGTCACATGCTGAAGTGTCCCTGGGCAAGACACTGAACCCCTCATAGCCTCTGATGTGTGTCCCATCGGTGTTTGAACGTGATAAAGCTGTGATTAGTCTCTTTAGAATTATTTGTTCAATTAGCTTTGTAGAGATCTAGTATAGAGCTGTATGAATGGGTAAATGAGGCACAGATTGTTGTAAAGAGCTTTGAGTGTCTTGATAAGATAGAAAGGTTCTATATAAGTACAGTCCATTTACAATTAAAAATAGTTACTAAGTCATTTTGGGCATCTCCAACTCATCTCAAGAGTGTTACAGTTCTATTTTAACACCTGCATGGAAGCGCTCCTCAGACTTAAAACATCTGGACCAAATGTCCAAATCTAAACAAAACTTATGATCGATATTAATTATTAAATAATTGGTCCAAATCTGCCAAAATGGTCCAGGATTTTCTTTTGAAATGCACATTTTAGTGTATTTAATTATACATGTGAGGGTACTTGTGGAAATGGGAACAAAATGAATCATTGTTGGTATGAGGCAGACAACAAAATATGTGCATGGCCATGAAAACGGCGTTGAAGCCGTGCACACACAAGGCCAGGATTTTCAAAGGAACAGACGCTCAACACTCTTGGCTTCGTGGTCACTTTATCGCAAACATTCAACTCAGTGAAACTGTAGCTTAAATGTTTTTTTCTGCAACTTTGAGGGACCATTTTTATCAACTAGTCTCCCAAGAGTGACAACTCTGTGAACCCTATGCACTTTCATTCATCCATGCAACCTTTATTTAGACAGGTTAATCCCATTGAGCCTCGAGGACTCATTTACAAGAGACCTGATTTCATCAAAATCAGTTTATACACAAAAACACACCATTTTTTATTCAGTAAGACATTTGTTTGTCTTCTTTTTAAATTTTCTTGCCATTTAATGTTTTTTTTTGTTTCCATTTGACCTTAGCTAAATGATATTACTTGTGGTGTTTCTTTTGTTTTTTTTGGTTTACCCATTTAACCACTCCTGTCTTCCATCTTGTTGCACCCATCCCTCTTTCTTCATACTTAGGCCCAAACTTCTTTTCCTCCTTCCTCGGGCCTTCATGTCCACGTCCCGTCTCTCAACACAGGCCCGTCCATTCCTCCTAATCTCCCCAAAACGAGCATACTGTTCTCATTAAGCTGCCGCACTTATATCTGCAACACACAAGCACACACCGCCCCGTGCACAGGGACATCCCAGGCCAGCAAGCAGTCAGCTCATGAAATTTCACCTTGGGAGGATCTCACAATGAAAGGCCTACACCTACACCTACGCCCCCCCACACACATATATGTTCTTCACAAACACGCACTCTCATGTATGCTATGGCTACACAGTCTCTCCCCGGAGTGAGCTTTCATTTCCTTTCTCATGACCAAAGCAATTTGGCTTTCATTTAAGAGTCTCCGTCCTGCCAGCAGCTAATAAGTGTAACAGAACTGTAAAACATTCAGAGACAAAAAAAAAAAAAGGGAAAAAGATTAATCGTTTTTCTTTGAGTAGGGGTTGGAAGGTTGGTGAGGAGTTGCAGGGTGTAAGGGGAGGGGGCTGTGCTTTAATTTAAACCAGAAGACGGAGAGTCAGGGTCCATTATTTAGTCATCCCTATGTTAATGCTGCTGGGAGAAAATGAGCGCTTAACTTGCTTTTGCTTTGCTTGACCTGGGGGAGCGGGTGGAGTGGGGTGTGGTGTTAGTGCAGCAGGGGGGGTAACACATTTCCAACAGTTCTCCAGCAAAGCATTACGCGCTACTCTCACACATGTGTGTATGTGTGTTTCGTGTGTTCTCCGATTCCCTAAAGGGTCCTGTACATACGCTCCCAAAACAGATGGAGACTAAGAGCTTAGGAACATGTACAAAATACAACCCACATACACAAACACCAAGAGGAGAACTCCCCATGCTAAACTAAAGAAGATGCCGGTGAAAGTTTGGTTTCAATTACACGTGGATCAAAGTTTCAGTGAGAGTTGGGGTCCAGTAGACAAGCATGCTTAGATAAATCATTACCTTACATTTTACCATCGCCTCATCCCAATCTCTCTCGCTCTTTCCTTTTTTGTCCTGCGTTCCCCTCTCATCCCTGCTCATGTTTGATTTTTTTTTAAATTCGAAACACAAACTTCTAGCCAGTTTCCCTCTCTCATTCTCTTTTTACACCGCAAGCTTGCGACCACTAGCAAGTTTGAAATGTGTCAAAAGCAATACACCTTTGTTAAACGTTCCAGTTTAAAAAAAAAAACACTATAGCTTTTCGGGCCTTTGTTTGATGCCACATGGTGGATTTCTATTAAGAAGCGTGTGCAAAGCTTAAACGGATGCTGACAGTTTCTAAAATGTTGAGCTACTCTGTTGTTTTTTTTTTTACCTCCTTGGTATACGTTTTTACTAAACAACATTTTGCAATCAGTCATTTCCCTGTTGCATGAAAGTTTGCAGGTGTAGGAAGTGGAGCTTGATTCAAATACTGAAAGCAAATTGTGTATACAGTGTAATATTTCAACAGTTTGGGAGTAAGCAGAATGGTTTCTTTTGTTTGCTTATTGTTGATATGGTAACCTGAGCTTTCTGTAAGCATGCACACAGAATAGACTGTTGCTACGAGGAACAAAAAAAGCGACGTTTTAGCTGCTGAACGTTCTAGTGATAGATGATGTAACTGTTTTAACGGCTGGAAAAGGTTCTATAGTTGGCAACATTTTCAGCCGATCTCCGGTTTAGGAACACTCTGTGTATATGTGGGCTGTTAGTTTTCTGGGGCTACAACTCCTGACTCGAGCACTTTCTGTTCATTAGAGACTGGTATGAAAAAGATTAATTTAAGTGCTGACCGGTATCTTTCTCTTAAAGCCTGGGACTTGGATCCATGCCAGATAATTATAGGCTCATTTGGGAATAAGAGTTCTAATGCTCTGGACTTTATGTACATGTGAATGGCTTTCATTAAACAATTTGGATGCAGATTTTATGGCCCAATTAAGGGTACAGTGTTGCAGAGACACGCTGCAAGGGTGAAAAATGTTTTCGACAAAGACAGGAGCAACACTTTTGCTGCATCGTGTGATTGCCAGGGCTTGTGTTTGCTAATCTAAAACTATTGGTGTATTTTCGCATCTTTAGGTAAACAGCTGTGATATGAGTGCACTGGATGTGCTTATCCATGTGCACACTTAGCAAAAACAACTTTACACAATGGTGTTTTTCATCAGTGTCCCTCGCAAACAAAAAGCCTACTGTGTGTTCTCATTTTTGTGATGAACTCCTCTTTGTGTGCAGTTATAACTAACAGAAATCATATTCACAAAAATGCCAAAGTGCATTATAAAAACAAGTATGAATGAATTCCCTCTCAGCGTGAAGGATTTGGATGTCATGTTGAATTGAGGGTTGTCTAAATCAGTGGTTCCCAACCATACTCCTTGAGGAACACCACCCTGCATGTTTTGTTATGTTTCCTTGCTCCAACACACCTGATTCAGTGATTGTATTACTTCTTCAAGTTCTACCAAAGCCTGTTAAGCACCTATTCATTCAAATCAGGTGTGTCAAAGCAGGGAAACAACTAAAACATGCAGGATGGTGTTCCTCAAGGACCACGGTTGGGAACCACAGGTCTAAATGGAGCTTTTGGGTTAAATTTAAGCCAAAAAATATGACAATGAGTCATCATCAGTTTCATAATTAAAAAAAAATGTTCAGCTGGAATTTTCTAGAGTCTCTGAAGTTGTTTGTTTGTGATTCTTCTGTTGCCGACGTGTTCTCAACCATCGGACCATTTAAGTCACGAAGCACATTGTGATGAGGTGCGTGTGCACGAGTGTATCCTCGCCCATTAGCCCTGCGCTCCATCATGTGTAAAACGACACACAAGTCAGGCCAAGCAGAAACATGGGGCCTTTTCTGCATACTTTCTGTCATCTTTTTCATCTCCTTCTGTGTTCCCTCTCTCCCTCACACACAAAAAGAAAGGAAGCGAGATGGGATCTTATGGAGGTAATTATTTCTGAGAGCCCAGCCTGTCATCTATACTCCACCACCCCACCATCCACGCATCTCCATCCCTCCATACCACACCACTCCACCCACCACCACCCGACATGCATTAAAGAGGCAGGGAGAGGACCCTCTTTGTCTGAATCCCCCTTTTAAACAAAAGACCTCTTCTGACTTAGAGACCAACAACACTTTTATCGTGTGTCGGTGTGTGTGTGTGTGTTCCAAATCCTTTTTGTTTTCTCTGAGTGATAAGGCTCTGGGACATTTTTGGTCCTTGTCAAATTACTGTAGCTGTGCTAACCATTTACATAGCAGCTGTAGGCTAAAAACAGAAGCTAATGCACTCT